CCAAGGACCAAAAGAAATAAACCTAAACCCCGTGATATGGGTGAAGGCGGTCCGAGACAACTGAAGGGTATTTAATAGTTCGAGGGGGAAAGGAGGAGTAAGACGCCGTAGGGTAGTCCGTAGGAAGACCTAGAAAAATAAAACAAAACCTTGACGCCTGAAACAAACACTAAGGGACGCTCCGGAGTATTTATCTCCGGAAAGTCGCAGACAAAGTCGCAAACCACGAAACTGAGCGTAGGTTCGGGCCCACGGGAGTAGAAATTGCTAGAGAAACTTGGTTAATTTTATTTCGCTATGTGAGACTCACCGGAGCTAATTGAATCGATGGCGGAGATAATTCACTCGACGAGTCAGGCCTATTGGCAAAGCTAAGATCGGTTATAATTCGCTAAGTTCGACGCTTTCGAACTTCTCGGGTCACTGAGATCGTAACGCTAATTCCCTGAGATGGTGAAGTCGAAACTTGTTTTTCTGTATGCTACTTTGTACAATTTATACTACAGGAATGGCTTTGCGACCGTTCGGAGATAAATAACAAATAAACGCCGCTACCCACAGGATTGCTCAGCACTTTCCTCCGCTATACCATATACCATACGACTCTCTTGCGCTCCTACTTGCTCTTTCCAGCCCCTATAGGTCGCCTCGACGCTTCGCCACCTGACCCAAGCGGTCCCATCACTCCGTGCGACACGCTGGTCACGTGTTAATTACCTCCGGCCGTTTGCTGACTGATGCTGACCTTATGGTGACTCGTATGCGTCCGCACCTTCGGTATCTTGACGGAAATGAGGGGGAGTGAGTGCTGGAGGGTGGGCATGAGGAAGACGCCCCTCGATAGAAGTGTCCGCGGGTCCCGGAGCTAATTCAGCTAGAAGTCGCATTGGTTAAGTCACTCCGGAGCTTCGGTGCGCGGAGATAAATCGTGGAATGGGTCCGAGTACGCCTCGAGGATGTTGGGAAGTCCGGAGCTAAATAGAAAAAGTCTTTTAGAGCCCATAGAAGCCTAGAGGCGTGCGAGCGCTGTGTCGAATAAGCTCCAGGGCACTTGTATGATGTGCTGAATCCGCGTTTTCGGGGGTCAGACGATCCTGAGGCTTATCACCGCCTCCACCCATACCGCTGGTGTTAGGTTTATTTCTTTTGGTCCTTGGTGATTGTTGTGTGTCAGTGCATATCACCGTCCCCATCGATCTCTTCTTGCACTTGCGAGTTTCCATTGGGCCAGTGCCCGCCACATTGTTTGATGAATCCAGTAGTGCTAGAGCTGAGCTTGTATTTGATACAGGAGGCAGACTTGTATTATGGTCGGGGATTTGAGGGCCGTAGTAAACTTGAAACGGGGCAGTGGCTTGATGTTGACTTGGTAAGTAAGGGTAGGTGGGGGGATAGAGGGTTGGTGGAACTGGCAGGGGATAAGAAGGGATCGGAGTGCTGTTGCCAAGGCTGTGTAGGTGAGTCGATGTCAGAGGTGTCCCATTAGTGTATGGGAGCAAAACCAGTGGGCAAGCACAAGCCTCAGGGTGGCCGCAGAAGCACATTGAGGGCACCATGGTGGTGTAATCGATGTACAGGAGGGAGACCCATTTTATTTCGATTTTATGGAAATTTGTGGAATTTTCGTCGTTGCCAGGCAAGACGACAGACGCGCACTTTACCCGCCATCGGCTCCAGCAATCAATGCGTCGCGTCGAAGCACGCGCCCGACTGTTGCCTAATCAAGCAGTCATGTGACCTTATCAATGACTTCATGAAGTCTTCAAAGCAACTGATGATGACTTCAAAGGGACATGAAGTCGTGCAATCTTGAAGTGAACTGAAGCGCACTTTAAAGTCCCTTCACTTCAGGAACAACACTACTTACAGTCTGTCCAGAGTAACACTCAACACCACAGTGGTAACTTGGGAAGTATTCGGCGCTGCGCGGCACGCCAGGTCCAATTCCTCGTAAGGTAAACGAGTGGCAAGGGTTCTACAAGTAGGTAAATAGTCTTTCTAGCCTCAGGGGCGCTGCGCGGCATCAAGAATACTCCTAGTTATTATATGTTGATCTCAGTGATACTAAATCATATAAGTTCATAACTGAACTCTCAAGCATAACTGTGTGTGGCTAGAACCTTCAATCATCCTGTACTCGGTGTCAAGTACAGTTATTTCAATACACAATACACTGTTTACTTCAGTACTACACTCGGGTAGCATTACTATCAAGTCAGTGCACATGCATACTGTAGCTGAGATGCACATCGTTAGGCTGAGGCCTCAATACTGCCAGTACTACGCCTCGTATGTAACTTACCAATCTTGTGCCGTAGGCAGCAGGGTACTTGCCATCGGCGCAATTCCACACACAGCCGGGGGATGCCTGACAGTGCCATTGGCCCGAGATCTTGAAAGGATCGTGTTGTGCAGAGACCACACTACATATCTGGAATTAGTCCCTATTCACAAACGGTAATTATTGACATGAGAGGCAATAGCTCCTATTTGCTGATGGTGCTAAGATTTGAATCGGTGGACCTTCCATTTAAGGAGGGTGCTCCCGTTACAGTTAAGGTAATGTGGGCTATAAGGGGTATACCCCAGGACCCCTGAAAATACCGATAGATGCCAGTGCAGGACTTGATTTTGTCATGTCCGGACTTTTTTTGGCTCCCCCCCGCCTTTATGTCCGGATAAAATACCGGCATCGGCCAAGGTCGGATCCATGTCCGGACTATTGCCCCGGCCTCTAGGAAACAGCAAAAATCACCCGTTGTAGTCCACAAGTCATTCTAGACACTAGATACTAGGGTGTATGTATGAAAACCTGAAATGTGCATAGTCTGAGGTAGAAAGTTCAATAGATAATGGAAGAGCCTTCGGGCTTGAGATCTCCAGCATGCAAAGAAAAGATGTGGCAGGCAAATGAGTGATTCGGCAGGCATTGTGCATTGCCAGGGTCTGAGAGACAGCGCGAAATACCCGCCCGTTCATGGCTTCGTAGCCCTGGACGGCGAGATACGATACCGCCGCGATATTGGAGGCATCTGGCACCCAGCTGTGTCTTCCATGTGTGCCTCCGGATTTCAGCGTGATACTAAAAACTGTATAATTCCGTGCAAATAAGGGGTACCCGAGGGTTCACGACTACGGAGGCATGTCTATCCTTATTCGGTGAGAAATACCATACCGGGTAATGATAATGTACTAGTCGCGACGAAGTGGCAGGCTGCTGACCATGTCCGGACTACAACCGGCCTCACTGCTGGAGTGCCGTTGGTGTCCGGACTAAAAAACCGGGTTGGACGGCTGAGACCCCTACTTACGTCCGGACTGGCTCCGGCGTCCCTCGCCCGAGGCGCTTTTTTTGTCCGGACTGGCACCGGCATCTATCGGTATTTTCAGGGGTCCTTATACCCCCTGTTCAACGCTGGCAATTCTCGATCACCAGAGAGCCCTATACAACGACTGAACAGTAAACCGATTCTAGAGGAATCGGAACTTCGTTGTCAGAGAACCACGTGGCGACGGTGACGTTGGCACTGCATTACAGTGCTTTGCATAAAAGTCCGGAAACCGCGATTCGCGAAATGTTGTTTGTGCCAGCCAAACAAACCTATATGGGGTAGTTGATCACGGTAGCGCGGGCTGTTGACTGGTTGGCGGGACGCTTCGACATCCATGTATGAGGGTCGTTCTTGGGGTATTTTGACCTCTGCGTGCTCGATATCCTGAAGAGATACAGGTATGAACGTTATTCAGCCTTGAGACGGGCATTGGTGTCCCAGGAGTGATATAGGCTGACTCCGAGGACCGTCGCGGCCCTCGGTCAGGTGTTACCCTATAAGGTATTGTTTGGCTGGGACAAACAGAGACGCGCG